TATTTTTAAAACACAGAATAGAGCATCTGTGGAGTGATGTCTACATTGGAGTTACAAGTGTTTATCAAAACATCCTGCGCACCTTGGAAGAGAATCACCTGTTAGACATCAGCAGCAGCATCCATTTATTCTGCTGCCATTTCGTTTTCCTTCCACGCATCCAGGCAAGTCTGGATTACTTTTCTGATGGGTGGGACAACCATCCCATGAGGACTAAACAAAATCTCACACCCAATCAGTTGTGGCAAGTTGGTCAGAGTTTAAGATCTTTCTGTAAATGTTGATAATGCATTAACTCGATTAGCATACCCACTGTCATGAAAGGCAGAATTCATTAATTAATTATTTATATATTTTTTATTATTTATTTTATTTTACTTGTTATTTGCCTTGGTGTTGTTGGCCTAGTTTGTTTTCCCCTAAACCACACATACCTTTAATAACACTGCATAGTAAAGACTTTGATTAATTGTAGTGCTGGCCATGCAGTCCAGCATGTTTGTTTTGTTGTTGTTGTGTTTTTATGTCATTTTTGCCAGACATAATCAGACTGTTCAGATCTGATAGCCGTATGCATTTTCTTGTTTTTGTATGAAACCTAAGAGATTTTGTTTACATTATTTGTAATTCTCTAATGTCTCCTTAGACACAATGTAATCTCCACCACCTTGATAATATTCTTCAAAGTTATTCAGTGGGTATAGGTGCAGAGCAGAGGGTGAAGTTACACAATCCGTGTATCATTCGATCATTCGTTTTTTGATTTAATATTGAAAGTAGAAAAATGAGAAAACAGCTCCTTTTTCGTTTTTTCTTTTTTTTGGAAAAAAAACCCGAAAAACGAGAATTCAGCTTAAGTTTTAATTTTTCGTTCATGGGTGGAAAAATGAATAAACAGCTTGAATATTCGATTTCTACATGTGGGCGGGAATTAAACGCCCCTTTCTGCTGATTGGTCAGCCGAAGATTAAACCGTGCCTTCATCAGTTCTTCTGCAGTATCACGCAGCAGAATAATAGTCCTCTGCTGCAGTTGTATGGATTCTTAATGCATTTATTGCAACTACATTTAATCTTTTTTCATCAAACAAACAGGCTTATGAATAGCTCAACACAACTCACACGGGGGCAGAGTCTAGACAGGGCTTTCTTCTGTGTAGATATAATTTCTATTCTTTGCATCAGCTGGGCATGGCAGGGTATGCTATGACAGCTGTCATAGCCTACCCTGCTCACCCAGTAAGTCTGTTTGTTTGTTTAATTAAGAAATTAATTAATTAATTTGTTTCAAAATAAATATTTTAAACACTAAGACAAAAAGGAAAGAATAATAAATTGGCTTGGGTATATATAGGCCTAT